TATCTATCTATCTATCTATCTATCTATCTATCTATTTATCTATCTATCTTTCTTTTTGAGAGAAGGTCTCGCTATAGCTCCAGCTGGCCTATAAGTCACTATGCAGAGACCAGACTGGCCTCTGTCTCACAGAGATCTGCCTGCCTCTGTATCCTGAGTGCTGGGATTAAAAGCATGCACCACCATGCCCGGCTTAAAACAAAATTATACATTCCTAAAAAAATAAAAACAACTTACCTTGCTGAGTATTCTGTTCTTGCATTCGATTCACAGTGAGGTCTAAGGGGCCTTCCTGTTCTTCCTGAAGCGAGTTTTCTGCTTGATTCATTTGGATACTTTTACATATGAGACTTGGTCCAATTGAACCATTTCTGTTTTCTTGAATTTTACCACTTTTTGAAATGTATTCAATTGCAAACTGACGTATCATCTTTTTCATTAATTCCTGAGCAACTAGGGGAATGTTAGGATCACAGTTCTGAGGAAGATCTAGGGAAGAAATAAATGCAATAAACATTAAAACCAAGTATGAATGACACAACTGAAAGTTGCTTTTTGAACAAAGAAATCATAATATTGGTCACTCAGCATCAGTCCACAGTCTCCAGTGGTTAGAAATAGGACTACATAGAAAGAGTTTTATATCTTTTCGAAAATGTGACATTTAAAAACTTCATTTCTTTTAATCTTTCTCCATTCCAAACTAAAATATAAAGACACAGGAGAACTTATTTTCATAATTTTAATTGTCAATCATTCTATTAGATGTTTAGTATCTGAATATGAACTTTATATATAAACAAAATGTAAGCAACACACAAAATACATCATTGCCTAAGGAAATATCAAAACTGTTAGAACTCTGTGCCAATTAATTTTCAAGTTCTGTCAAATACATGTTCCATATTACCTTAATATCTAACCATGAACTACTATTCTTGGACCTGCTAGAGCTATTACAAAATATATAATATATTACTTCTTTCAAAACATAGGATTTTCAATTCTGAAAAGACATTTGGAGAAGGGACCAGGTGCATTTAAGAGTAACACTTTCATCTTCACTTTCATTCTCTGATTAGAACCTGAGAGGAAAGAAGAACATTGTCTTGGGCAGTGAATCAAAAGACCTAGCTCTAGGTTGAAATCTTAACCATCTCTGTGAAATTAGGATGCCCATCCATCTCCATTCATTAAAACAGAAAGGAAAGAATTTGGGAAGTCCTAACAGGGTTTGGTCATAAAATGCTGCTGAAATCATGTAATAAAACTATAGGTAGAAAAAAATGGAACTGTGTCTGGTACATACACAGTTCAGTAAATGTGATATGTTATCAGAGGTGACAGTTTGTAAGAATAAGAGAAACAAGTAGATACGGAGTGAATGGTCATATTTTATTTCAAACACAAAATGGCAAGTAAGTTTTATTACTAATTGGGTTGACAAGTTTTAAGGTCCTGTGGCACTAAAAGGTCAAAAATTGTTTCCATCATATAAATCCTAATTAAAGTGAACTATCAGAGTAAGTTCCTTCATTAGTCTCAGGAATTCAAAACATAGAACATTTTTAAATTACTACCTTGAATATTGAAAGGCTTTTATGGAAATTCTTCACATTTTAAAAAATAATCTCATTTTACACGATGTGTTTTCAAGAGATAGCACCTTTATACTTAGGTATTTTTGCTAGCTACCCTGCAATTTATTGACCTGTGTTACTTCATGAATTCAAAATGATTAAACTTAGCACAGAAGGAGCAGAAACACAAGTCAACTCATCAGGTAACCAGTTATACTTTACAACTGATTTTTAAAGCTAACTTTAAACTATTTTATTCACCTAAGTCACTTTTTGTCTCCTTTGAGGAAAATGTACTTGTGAGGGAGGAATAATAAAAGAAGCAGAGACAATGTTTCTTAGGTACTGATTAGTTGGGGGTGCCTCCAAAATCAAACCGTAGTGACTAAAAAAGGACATGACAACTTAAGATCTAGGTGAGGGCATGTAACTCAAGTTTATAGGTAAGTAGTATCTGAATGAGTGTGCACAGATTGCATGCAAACACCATGCCATTTCATATAAGAGACTAGAGCAGCCACAGACTTTTAGTATCAGGCTCCTGTGGGCTGAGGGGTGGTCTAGAAAGGAGTCCTCCATGTATATTGAGGAAAACTGCCATTTGGCTAGAAAAGAATGCTGCCACATAAAAGAGAGCTGACTGCTTTTGTCCAAGATGGATTTTCTTATTTTTTGCCCTACTTCTTCATTTTTCAAAGTTAACTAATTAAAAAGTGTGCCAGCCTTCTGTGATTCCTGTGCCTTCGGGTGTGATGCTATCATCGAGTCCACTCCATGGTATACTACAGGTAGCCAAGGCAACCGACAGCATACCGTGTAAGTATTTATTGAGAAATTAACTTATGAATGACTGAGGTTTCCAACTCACAAACTGCTAATGTGGGTCCTCCTATTCACTCATACTGATGCTTTCCTGCACTTGCTCCTGCCTTCTCTAGCTTTTCCCACTTCATTTCTCCCATTAACAATGAGTAGCTATTTGGGAGGCTCACATGAATAGAGAGAAGTGTCCAGCAAGTGATCAATAGTGAGCTTCCTGGACACACATTTGCCAAAGTAATCAAATTTTGAAAGAACGAAACCCTAGCTAACCTCAGGAATGGAGCCATGCCAAGAAACTGTGAGCTAAATCTATCCAGCTAAGGCATTTTCAGATTTGTGAACCAGAAAAAAATATGAAATAGTAAATGTTTATGGCTTTAAATGGCTACATTTTGAAGGTAATTTGTTATAAGGCAATAAATAGTGTAGACTTTTGTTATATATTGTTGGGATGCTATTCTAATAAAAGATCAAAACTGTGTCTTTAGAATCAGGCACTAAGCTTTGACGATAATATTAATGAAAGCCTAAAATAATCTGAAGTTTCAATTAACGTAAGATGACTCATACTCTTTGAGATTACAGAGGTGAGAACATGTAGGAAAATTAGGTAAATATTATTGGAAATCAGAGGAAAGAATATATATTTATTAGGTAGCAGCAAAATGATCTTGTCTACAGTAAGCTGCAAAGCAGAAATTGTGCTAATACTGGATGATCTAACTAGGGGAATTCCTTGTCTTTTTCGTTGTGAGCCTGAGCCTGAGCCTTTAACGGCTGCGCCAGCTCTCCAGCCCTAATTTTTTTTTTTTTTTTTTTTTTTTTTTTTTTTTTTTTTTTTTGTGGTTTTTTTTTTTTTTTTTTTTTTTTTTTTTTTTTTTGTCCAGGGGAATTTCTGAATAAAACCTTGAAGTTGCCCTTTGTATTCTTCTTGCTTACAGTAAAATGCAAAAAGAGGACGATAAACTAAGTGAAGAAGAGTTTAAAATAAAAGATATTAGGCCATAGATTAAAAACTCTCAAATCTAAAGAAAGAGCAAATGATAAAATTAAGAATGGTTATTGAGAAAAGATCAAATCAGAAAAACAGCTAGGAAAATGTGTTTTGGAAAACTTCATGGAATAGTGCTGAGAAGTGATTAAACAAATATCAACAACAAACCTGGTATGCTAGACAGCTTTAGTTGTCACCTTGACATACCTTGGTGGAGGGAGCCTCTATTGGGGAATTCCCTCCATTGATGGCCTGTGGCCATGTCTGTGGGGTATTTTCTTAAACTGCTGAGTGATGTGGGAGGGACCAGCCCATTGTGGGTGGTGCCAGCCCTGGGCAGGTGGGCCTGTGCTGTCTAAGTCAGGAGGTTGAGCACAGGCCAGGCAATAAGCTGCATTCCTCCAAGGTCTGTGCTCCAGGTTCCTGCCCCGAGTTCCTGCATTGGCTTCCACTGATGAGGAACTGTGCTTGTAAGCCAAATGAACCCTTTCTTCCACAAGTTGATTTGGACAGTGTTTTTATCACAGCAACTGAAGGCAAACTAGAACACCTGGCAAAGAGAATCATCTGATTTCCAATGGTTGTCACACTAAAGTATTTAAAATACTCATATTTTTAACATAATATTATGGAATATGGAAGGAAAAAAATTATGCCCCACATATGAGGGAAAGTGAGCAAGTACCGCCTCTGAGGAAACCTAACATTTTACTTGATAGAAACATTTTTTAAGAAATTCTGCTTCTACCTCTTAGTAAAAAAAGAAGACAACAAATACGTTTTTCAACTATACTTGCAAATAAATTATTGAATACTCTTACAAAATGAAAAAAATATTATTTTTATTATTTTTTTTAGAATTTCATATATGAATATTGTATTTGCATTATTTCTATCCCTCCTAGTCCTCCTCCAACTCCTTCCATGTCTCCCCACACCCTCCCAAATAACTGTCATCTTCTTTGATCACAATTGTTACATATACATACAGTCTTTATAAATACACACATATATAAAATACACTGGGCTCATTTAGTGGTGCTCATGTGTACTTGTGATTAGGGCTGCCCCCTTGGGATTAGATAACCTTTTAGGGAGCTAGTGCCTGGCAGGCTAGTCCCTGGCGAAAACTGAGTGTCCCTCCCTCAGCATCTACTGACTGCCTGTAGCTCTTCAGATCTTGAGGTGGGACCTCGTGACATTCCCCACAACTACCTTGGCATGACAACTGGTTTCATAACCATATGCAGATCTTGTTAGACTAACATACTATGGATATTTGTGTAGCTTCCCTATCATGTCTAAAATGCTTTAACTAGCAGCAGGTTAGACAAAGACTTCAAATCAGCCTTTTTAAAACAGGCTCAAAGAACAAGGAAATAGTTCATCAACCAAAATATGAGGACAGAGGATAAACACATGATAATGTCCCAAATTTGATAATAAAACATTTATTTACACGTTAAGAAGTTCAGCCAAATGACAAGCAGACTCTATGAGAGGTTCAAATTCAGACACATTCGCATTGAATTGTCGGATACAAAGGGAGAATAACCTTGAATGTAGCAAGAAACACAGATCACCACATACAAGGGATGCTCAGAAAAAGTTAACAGGCAACTTCACCTTAGAAACCATGGAAGCTAGAAGAAACAAGAGTATATCAGGCCAGTTAAAAACAATATAACCATATAATCAAATACAGTATAAATGTATTTTTGTCTGAAAATTATAAATGTATGTTTTTGCTTCCATATTTTCTTTCCTCCTAATCTCATTTAGAAAGAAAATGCATAAAGCAGTAATGAGTAAATTACATTGGTGGACAAACAATGTATAAAAACATAACATGGATAACAACAACATAAAGAAAGCAAAGCAAAATGGAGACTTGCATGAACAAACTTTTAACATGCTTCTGAAGCTGATTTGGTATTAGTTCAAAGTAGACTGCTGTATGTAAAGATGCTAACTATGAGGCTGGAGAGATGGCTCAGTGGTTAAGAACACTGGTTGCTCTTGCAGAGGGCCTGGGTTTGGTTCCCAGCACCCACTCAGTAGCTAACAACTGTCCATAACACCAGATCTGATGC